AAGTAATTTATTTCCTCCCTCTGTAATTTGACTCCAAGTAATGTAATTGTAATTTGTACTAAATAATTAATATAAACATTTTAACAAAAGTACAAGTGCACATTTAAACCATCCATAATGTCTTTTAATGAAGACTTTTAATGAAGTGAACTATCAAACACAAACTGAGGGATGACATTATTTTTTTTTGTTATCAATAGATATATATATATATATATATATATATATATATATATATAATGTGCATAAATATTTAATGTGCCAAATTTTTTCAGTGTTTATAAGCTATGCTGTACAGTACATCAGGTAACTAGTGTAGGCTCAACTAATCGATAATTTGTTGTCAGTTATTTTTTATTATATATCGATTTGTGTTGCGGGCATGAGACAGAGATGACACCTGACTTTGGAAGTATAAAAAGTGTGGTGTGGGCAGGTGAGTGACAAGAGAGTTGCTTGGCCTCTAAAGATTGATAAAATCATGCCAAGGGCTACCCAAAGTGATAATACCCAGCTCATTTCCGTCAATTTAGACAGATCACCTTCCCCCTGAAACCTGCGGCCTTGTCGCATTTTCTCGTTCCCACAAACACACACATACGCACTCATTTGCACAAAGGTATACATGCATTTTTCAGTGTGCTGACATATTATAAGTGGTTATGAATTCTGTTACTATACCTCAGAGCTTGTTCATGCCATCAGAGGTCATTCATTTGTAATTTGTGAATAATTTAAGGCTCACAATGCAATTTTGTTTCCTGTTCAGGTTGGGATTTGAGGCAGGTGCCAACAGTGTTTGCAGTATTTATGAAAGCATTTGTGGACACTAGATTAATCAAGTACATAAGATTATTCTGTCAGTAAGGTAATATTTTTGTGGCAGATGAACTAGTGTTGTAGGTCTATAATTTTGTGAGAAATAAAAATGAAAGCTTATGCAAGGTACTCTATCATTTTGAGTTATAAGACGCAATGATCTGTTTGCAGAAAAATGTGATTATAAGATGTGTATATATAATTTGGTCATTTTATATTTGATAAAACTTTTTTTCCAGTTCAAAAATGCAGAATGGAGTGCGTGTGAACCAATCATCTCTTCCACTTTAGTTATAGCGTAAAATAAACATGAATAAATATCCAGGGGTGTAAATTATGATTTACTGAAATCTATCATCTGTCATGTAATCACAATCAATGTTTCAGCTGTGGAAAAACTCAATAAAACAGCATGTCATGTAACATCACCTTTACCTCTGGAAGGCCATTCAGTGACCATAGTTTATTTATTAACTAGGAAAAGAGAACCATAGAGAAGGGCATATCACTAAATGTATACATATTATATAAAAATAAATGCATTATATACTTTTCTAAACATATTATGTCTTAAAATTTAATGGATGTTTAAATAGATCTATTAAATATGTCAAACATTTGTGAAAATTATTTGGAATATTAAGAGGCCATTTTCTCAAAAAAGAAAAATCATTTTTATGACAGCAACTGCAAAGAATCTATCTAACTAAAGTAAATTTTTATTCAGACACAAATATCCGAAACCAGTTGCATAAACAGCTTAGACTTGTTTTAAAAGTTAGACATCTCATTTTTTTTTTCTTTAAGACTAGTCATAACATTTTCAGTTACATAAGAAATGTCTATTGGTCTAATTTGATTTCAAAAAGTAAGACTGATTGCCCCATCTGCTAGTTGGTCAGAGTAGTTCTTAAAGTCAGCATGAAATGAAAATTTGCCCTGTTTTTGATCTTCTTGTTAAAAAATCATCTTTGCGTATGTTTCTCTTTTTTTTTTTTTTACCTCATAATTCAATCTTCTGGTAAATTGACAGAATTCTCTTTGGTGAAGTATGCCAGACTTTTCCAATAATTTAGTCCACTTAAAACCCTCTGCTTCCTTACAATTGACTTCAATCTCACATTCAGGTCTGCCTTCATCCCATTAACAAATGATTTAAGAGAATCAAGCCCCCACTCTACATTTTTTCTCTCGGATATGCATCATTCATTATATGTTGGAAAATATCTGTCGCTACTTCTGTTTCATTTTGACTTTTCAAACTTGGTTTTAACATAGTGCCTGTGTTTATTCAACTGGCCCCTGCTGTGAAGATGTGGCATTGCATTGTACAACAATGTCATTTTTGCATTCCTTCTGAATTTTGCTAGATGTAAGTCACATTGCAATATTCCATGGGCTAGAAAAAAAAAATAAAAAATAAATATATATATATATATATATATATAT